GTGTTGCACCAAAGTATGTGAGCCGTCAGATTCTATGTCTAAACCCCTGATCCTTTCCTAAAGCTAACCAAGTACTTTTGGTGCCTAATCCTAACCACACTGCGACTGCTTCACAACGTCAACCACGTGTTACAAAGCCCTTAACTCTGTATTTGGGTCACAGAATCTGATGGGTTACAGATTTTGGTATCACACCGGCATATTGGCACAATCCTCCAGCAAAAAAAAGGCAGTGTGATGACAGCGGCTATAGACAGACAGGGAGACAGCTTCACACAACATGCCTGAAACTCAGGTAAACTCCCCTGCACTGTAATATTTTTATCAGCTTGAGGTTGAACTAATCCATGCTCTTTACAGGATAACATTACATTTACTGGCATTAGCTTGCCCACCTGCTTCTCAGTAACCAACAATATTAGTGTGAGGCTCAGCAATGTAAGCACAGCTAAATGTATTAGATGATAACAAAATGGTTAGTGAGCTGGACTGAATATTATGAATGAGATTGTGGCCACAACAGTTAGACCACTTTACTAGTGTGTAGCTCTTCCAGCCATACACTAGTAAAGTTACAAACTTTTTTTTTTGTTAAATCTCTGAAACTTCACCTGACAGCTGGGACTAACTATTGGCTGTAATCCTCCGCAGTCAGTTGTCTGAGGCCACTTTTGAGACCAAAAACAGGTTTCGGGGCATCGTCTAATCTCTCCTTTTCTTTCCCGTGGCCACAGCCGGTGATGTGTGTCTGTCGGCTGTTTGGGCACTAAGCCATTGTTGTGAGCAGAGAGAGATACAAAGTCAGTGATGCAGGGAGACGGCTGCTGCGTGGGCTTGCCGAGCAGGAAAAAACAACAAAAAAACCTGGAGCCAGTCCAACTTCATTATAAAGAAATATGACAGTGGAGCCTAAAAGGGTTGTTGCAAATATTAGTGCTGGTTACTTTTATTTTCTCCATGCCTGCAGTAATTGCAGTTATTAGTCGTCAGCACGAAACAAACTGAATTGCATTTGGAGGAATTAATTAACATCTCTGTTTATTTGTGAGGAGTGATACTGTCTGCAGCTGTCGGGGGGAGTTTTTTCCCCACTCTTGCTGACGTGTTATGGCGGGAGGCCATGTTTCAGGCTCTCAGTGCAACTAACTCAGCTGAGAAGCTTTTCTGCTAGTGTGTGCTCTGGATGAAGTACTAAAACCACAACAAATTGGAAGTTAAATCACTGGCATTATTATATTACGAGACTCTACACATGGATTTGCTGCTATAAAGAGAAGTTGCACACTGCAGGCACACTCTGGCAAACACACTCGCACAGCCTTGGGAACAGGAAGGCCATACATCAGTCTGGGAGAAAAACTTAACATTTAGCAACAACATAAGCTAAGTGATCATAAGCAAAGTCCCATATCTTTTTTTTTTAAGTACTGCATAAAGATGCAACTCATAGAGTCTCACTTTATACTAAAAATCTGTCTTTTGTCTGGGCAAAGCTGTGTAGTATAAATATAACATAGAAAAGATGTTTAAATTGAAAATCATACTGAATCATGAGATGTGTATTGTTACACCTCAAGTGTACAAAAAGTAATGTGCACACTTGCCTATAATAGATGGACAATACAAATCCCTAAGGGCTCCCCTGTTCTCTCTGACATAATTGAAAATATTTACAGGTAATCACACTTTTACTTCTGAATTATGATTCATCTCTGAACTCATCTTTCATCTTATGCTGCAGCGCCAGAAAAAACCCTTGTGAATGCTTCTCATAAAACTGGCAATAATACAGAGATACATTTACTGTCTCTGCACCTGTGCTCATACACAATAATTCCATTTTCTTTCACTAGAAGCAAACTTGCTTCCTTGAGTTGACGTCTATATGCAATATGTTATGTGTCGGGGCAGGCAGCAGGTTACAAAATCCTGATTAAGGAAAACACATTCTACCTCAACCTCTGACCCCAGACACAAACTTGACAACCAACAGATGTTTGTCAGATATTTTGATTGACTGACAGCGGGAAAAGCAGAAAAACACAGGTGAAACATATTTTGTTAACGATTGCTTAGTTTCATTAAATGAGCTGTTTGTCAGCATGCACAAGCCCTGGTTATAGCTCAAACTATTAAAAGAATGCAACCCATAATAAACACTTTCAATTATTACTGAGGCAGTGTAAATGATTAACACGGGCTTGACAATCTAAACAGGCCTTATGTCTGTAGGTATTTTATGGAGAAGTTCATGAATAGTAAGGAAGAACTAACAGGTTAGATTACTAAAAGAAGACATGGTTGTCGGCGTTTTCACATGTCGGAAATAACTCTTGTTCACTCACTCACTTTTTCCTGTATAATATATACTTATTAGTTTACTCTTTATAGGGTAAATTTAGACTCCTATGCAACATTATCATTTAGTGTGATCACACACACAGGTGAAGTGTCGCACGACTGCAATTTTTCTCATCTGTTAAATTAGACATATTGCGTGTAATTATCAACAATATTACATTGTTGGAACTTTTGAGGGCACTACATAGAGCATATATTTTACACTGAGATTTCAGAAGCAAATATATTTTGGACACACAATTTCTTTACTTTTAAAGCCCCAACAAAGTAATCGTCCACCCACACATTTATGTTTTTCACAAAACGTTCACATACCTAAATGACAAAATAGGTTGATTGCCAATGACTCCCAAAACGACATATATGACCATTGGAAAGTACCTGTCCAGAGTCATGAGAATTAAGGGTGCTTTCACACCTGCCTCATTTCGTTCAGTTGAATCCCACTAGAGTTTGTTATGGCCCTTGGTGTATTTCATTTGGGCAGGTGTGAATACAGCAATCGCACTCGGGTGCGCACCATAAGTGGACCAAACAGGCGGAACCGAGACCTCCTTGAAGAGGAGGTATGACTTCAAACGAACTCTGGTGCTGTTCGCTTGTGGTGTGAAAGCAAACGAACCAACCACAGGTTTTTATGATAACAGAGATGTGACCTGAGCATTATTTCCAAAGCTGAACCACTAATAAATCCATCTGCTGACCACAAAATGTGTTCAGCGATATTATTGATCTGTATACGCCATGCTATGTTTACGAAAATCATTTGGTAATGTACACTTGTCAGCACATGTATTTCCCTGATTAATAGGTCAAAATCTGTTAAAAAGGAGGGCAAGTAGTCAGGTTATTAAGTCCATAACACATTTGTGACAGCGATACCACAGTATACTATAAGCTAATAAACCCCCAATTATTACTGTACACGCCCTGTTTTTACGTTATTATTCATAATATGTGGTTGACCTGCGGTCTAACATTACTCATCATGCAGAATAAATTATTACTTTGTGAGCTCTTTGCGATACAGATCAGAAGCATTAAAGTGCTGTATAAACTTCTGTCAGTCACCGGAGGTTGACTTGTCCACGTGGGTCCTGATTATGCAGGATGACAATTGCCAAAGCTGTCCAATCAATAAGTTACCTGTCAGTCCGTGTAACGGGTTACTTCTCTTGCTTCGTTTGTAAAACTGCAGTGTGAACATGAACCGAACCAGAACTAAAATGCAACACTGTATCATTTTTAGTCAACATTGACTTGCTTTCAAATGGGACTTAAACCAAAGTCTCCTGGGTGAAAGTTCTGTGTTTTTTTGAGAGGATGGCCTGTTCCTTCCATACGAAGTATGTGGCACATTTGTGTGTATATTTTTTCCATGTACCATAATCCCTAAACCACTCTCCATGAAAAAAAATGGAATATGACAGGGGAGCCCACAAGGATTGTTGTTGTTAAGATTAGAGCTGTTTAAAGCTGCTTAATTATTTTCTTGATGCCTGCAGTAATTGAAGTTATTACGTGTCAGCAAGAAACAAGTTTAATTGCAGCGTCAGGAAATATTCAAAATCTCTGTTTGTTTGTGAGGAGCGATACTGTCTGTAGGAGTTGCTGACACGTGTTATTGCAGGAGGCCAAGTTTCAGGCTCTCGGCGTAACTAACGTAGCTGAGGAGAAATGTTCTGGATGCGAGTATAAAAAAAAACAGGAAGCTAAACCACACCCATAAATGTGTTTTTGAATCGACACCCTCTCACACACTAGGCACACATAGTACGCACGTAGTTTCACGCTGTTTCCATCTTGCATACACAGAAGCACACAGTCCAGCATGCACACAGCTAGTGCAACTAGCAGTCAGCTAGAAAAACTTCATTTAAACAACATTTAGCAATGACGCAAGCTGAGGCGTCATTAGCATAATGTATTACTTGATAATTGGTGCGCCTCAAGCTACAATGCCTCTGCTTCATCACCAGCAGCATGTACAACACACATACCCCCCCCCCAAACCACACACACACACACAATGCTGTGTTAGTTCGCGGGCCCACGGCCGTGCATCGACCCCAGCAGGGGGGCGGAGAGTGAACCCCCAGGGCTATGCTGCAGGGGTCTACATATATTTAAAACAATCATAAATTTTAATGGTATCCCACTGAGGGAGGCTGTCTTACCAGCAAGCCCGTCTCTCTCCCTTTCTCTCTCTCTCTCTCTCCCTCTCCTCTGTGTCTCTCTTACTCTCATTCCTCTGGCAAAACCCATGCAGAATTATTAATACATGGCATGAAAATGTAAAAACTGGCCCCAGTGGCGACAGCAAACAGAAAATGGTGTATTAAAGGAAAGGGAAAGTGACAGCAGAGGAAAGGAGAAACAGAGAGAGAGGAGTGAGAGAAGGAGGGGCTGGGATCAATGTGTGAGAAGGGAATTATATATCAGTCAGGCTGTGATATCTGCTGTGTTGTCTTAACACTTAACAGAAGTGTCAAGGTGGGTTAACGCTCCTCATATCTGAGAGAGGAGACACAGAGAAACAGAGGCAGCAGGAGAGGGCTAAAGGAAACAAATGTAGGAATGAAGTTTAAGAAGACAAATGTAAGATCAAGTGGAAGGAGGAAGAAAAGAATTGCACGTACTGGACGACAGTAGAAATGTGCAGACGTCGGATGCCTGGTGTGGGAAACTGGCGAGAGTTTATGTAGGAAACTTTCCTCACAGCAGCGTTCATGTTTTCCAAGTCCTCTCCTTCCATTACCAAGATAGACTGGGCTGGGTTGAAGTGGAACTGTGGGATGAGAAAACAGACATGCTAGATGGATAGAGAACTGAAACAGTTCATGACAAAGTGTTAACAGGAACAGAGCCATTTATAGCTGCACTCAATTGAGATGCTGTATAATTTGTCTGGTGTCCGGTATGGACACCTGTGCATACAAAAACTGACAAAGTGAAAAGAAAGCTCCTAGCTTCAGGGCCCTGGGGCAAGAATGTGGCTGCTCTAATATGATCACCTTGTAATGTTGATATGGTGAATATGTTAGTAAGGAGTTGGCTACTTACAAATTCAGCAGACACAGAGCAACATTAGTATTAATTTAGCATATACACTCAGTTGCCAGTTTATGAGGTACAGGTAGCTAAACTAATGCAGTCTACATGTGTTACACTGACAGGTCATAAGCAGTAGTGTGAGCTCAGTATGTACTCTTTTGGTGTCCACTAACTCTTCAGGGAAACATCTGGCTCTTTAGCTGCTAAATGTTCCACTATGTTCACCAGCTAGTGGCTAACAGCTGTCTGCTGTTTGTTTCTGGGCAGGTGGCCTTAGAGCGTTTTTTTTTTTCACAGAAAACAGCTGCTTGTTGCTGCTGGAAACCCCAGTGATGAGGGTGAACCAAAACAATGAGCTAAAAGATGCTAAACTGCTTTGTGGACCTGGGAGATGATAGAGACTGGTGATAATTATCTGCAGGTTTCTTACTTGCAACCTATTTTACCTTATACACTCTCATTTCATCCATTGTTAATACAGTATGAAAACATTAAATAGGTCACCTTTTAAGGCCCTAATCATGTCATTTAAATGTGATTTTAGAGGTGCATACATATTCAACAAAAAACTATTGACACAGCATGTCTGGAGCTATTCAGTTGGACGTTTTTCCCTCTCAGTCCTTTAAACTGTCTAACTACCATCGGATATCTTGACCCGGTGGCCGAAATCCGATGCAGCTTTAACAACTACATTTCATGTTTCAACTAGAACCCCCTCCCATCCTCTTCTTGCATTCTGAACACATTTTCTGCTTTTACCAAAAAAAGTAGATCTGATGTTCAGTGTGATGGATCACCTGTTTTAATATAGTCTCGGGCCTTTTTATACTGCACTGAAATCACTGGAAACCAGTGGCCGTCTAGAAGACAGGGCAGAACACAGTAGTATAATAGTAATATCAATATGTATGTGCTTTGTAGTAAATGGAAAAAAACACTGGCATGGCCCTTTAAGTCAAGGGGCTAGAAAACAGTCTGTGGACTCTCCTCACAAGTACAGTTTGACAGAGGTGTGTGCTCTCCTGCAGGGTTTGATGGAAGGGATTTGAGGCCCTTCTTCCCTTAAAGAGGGTTTAGTGTTCTCCTGCTAGAAGTGTCTCCCATTTCCTAAAACTGTCTCTCAGCAGCAGTGTAACAGTACTTCAGCACTCCATGGGGCTCTCCACGCACTCCCTCTCCCCTGTCATTTTCCCCTCCACACCTTCCCTTCTCTTGCAGTCCCCTCTCATCTTCTGTTCTCTGTCGTTATACTTGCTGTCTATCTGCCTCTGCCTCCCTCCATCTCTCCATCAGTTCTTGTTATTCTCCTCTGATTGTGCTGTGCCAGGCCTCCACCTGCTTGGCTAAATGCTGTCCTTAAGCCTCCCGTGGACTTATGGGAGCCAGACGAGTGTGCAGCTAAGAAGAAAATGAAATAGCTCTCAAAAGATAAACTACAGTGGCCCTAGAGAGGTTGAACTCTTCTCTTCTTCTTCTTTCCTCTTCGTAAAAGGCTGGCAACGTTCTCTTTGCTGTACCAGAGCACGTGGAGCTCTACGGAAAGAGCAGCAAGAGTGAGGGAGAGAAGAGTAAACGAGAGACAGAAAAAGAGTTAAGGGAGCTAAGGGACAGTGGGTGGGTTGGTGGGTAGGTGGGCGGCTTTGAATCTACACAAACCCCTATCCATCTTGTCTGCCCTCTACCTTCCACAGTGTAGGGAGATGGATTAGCTGCGGTGGTGAAATGGGGGAAGGGAAAGAAGCCAACTTGTGATTTAGATATAGTGTTTTTGTGTCATAATGTGTGTTTTTGTGTATGTGCACGCACCATCTGAGAAAGTATGTTGAATGTATACTCAGTATAGTCAGGGCAGTTGTTAGAAAACCAACTTATGCTGCCACCAAGAACTGAACTTAAAGAAAATGCACTTACTAGCTTTCTTGCCTAGAGTCAGATGAGAAGACCGATACCACTCTCATGCCAGGACAGTAATTATGAAGCAATGGTCAGCATCTGGTTAGCTTAGCTTAGCAAACATAGTGGAAACAGGGAACATAGCTAGCCCGGCTCTCTCCGAAGGTAACCAAATCTGCCTACCAGCACATCGAAGGCTCACTATTGTCACAAGTGTTACTACTATAGATCATGTTTGTTTCATTCCACGTGTTGAAACTTTAAAGTTGTGGTTTTATGGGGTTGTATGTTCTATTTTATGGGGATGTAGGTCTTTTAATTGGCTGGGGCACACTGGTGAGGCAACCAGCAGAGACTCACCATTTCCCGTCTTTATGCTAATCAGTTGCTAGCTGTCATATTTTACACACAGGTTGAGAGTGGTATCAACCTTCTTATCTACTGCTCAAAAAGACAGCTAAGAAGTATTTTTACCTAAATGATGAACTGTTCCTTTAAGATGAATTTAAAATACCAAAATCGTGTTGACAGAGTTGGCATGTATAGGCAGCCTATTTCTGGTAGAATATGGTGAGTGAATATTATAAAACTTTGAGCAGAAATGAAACTTCTGGAAGGATATGCAGAAAATTGCATGGTGGTAGTCCAACTGTGAAGTCCAGCTGTTATAAGTATATGGACAATTTTCTGTTTGAAGGTTGAAGTAGCAGCATTGTTCTACTTCATGTAGCACAAAGAAATAAATGAGCTTTATGTGTTTGTGTATACTGTAAGTGTACTATGGATTTGTGTGTATGTGTACACCCCCACAATGATTTGTTTCATTGTAAAATTTGAATTATATTTGTCCAGTGTCTTTTACCTGAATCGACTATTTAGGTTAACTGAACTCAGGCTTGTCACTGGAAGTCCAGTGTCTTTTCTGGAATAGCCCTGTGTTACTGTGTGTGTGCGTGTATGAATACCTTTATGCTCTTATCCAGACTCTCGAGAGAGTTGATGTCCAGTCCCTCTTTGCAGGCTTGCAGACAGGAAATGACTTTCTGACTCTCAATCTTCCCCGGTCGGACGGTCAGTCCAGATAGGCTGCCCCGGAAGTACTGAGTAAACCGCGACTTGGTCACTTCCCCACCTACACACACAACCATACACACACATACAGTAAAACAGTTCATAAAATGCCTTTCTTAATTTAAAGCACAAGATCGTTTAAGACTATTATTTGCTATGTGGGTTTTGCCTTCCCAATGTCAGTTTTTAAATGGAAAGTGCACATGGACAAAAATAGAAGTAATAAGAATATCTACCAGAGCAAATGTAGTGCTCCTCTACCCATTCTATAAAATCATCACAATGGGTCACAGAAAACTCAAAGTAGTACATATTAAATTTGTGGGTCAGGGTCTCCACTGGGTGTGGCGCACATAAGTCCCTTACACATTACAAGATCATTGAACTAACAGTGACCTTATCCACTCTTTTAAATTTTTTGGCCTGATGGGCAAATTATGCCTATAATTGGCCTTAAGATGCATGTTTTGTGCCTCCATTGTATGACTAAGTGACAGGGTGCTGCAGTAAAAGTGCAAGTGTTACTCAGCCAGCCCCATCCAGGCTAAATAAAGGTAAGGAAAAAGTCAACACATTTAGAGAATGTCCTCTGAACTCTGTAAAGGCCAATACCAGAAAGAGGAGTCTCCAAACCACTCATTAGCTGAAAGGTTACTAGAGCTGGGTATCAAAACTTCACCTTTCTATTCCTTTCCTTCCTCTCATTTATTTCCTCACTTCCTCTTCCCTTCTCTCTGCTTTTCTCCAATTTTGGCAATAATCCACCATCCAAAGCACACAGGAATACAACAGTCACTTAGCGTAATAGCATTTGTTATTAAAAATCCAAAATGTTTAGTACATCAAAGGCATTGGGAGGATGAAGCAATGACAGATGGCCAAAGATTTAGCTAAGGTGCATCTCTTCTGTCTCTCCGTCAATGTATCTGTCTAGCTTCTCAGCACATTTCTGTGACACACCTGCTCCCAAGTGATTGATGGAGGCAGGCAGCAAACAGTGGCCTTTTGTATTATTTTCATGCTTATTTTCTTTACCGTCGGGAATATGTGTGCAGTCGTCATTATCTAAAAGCCAACCATTCTACATCTTCCACAGTGCGAGTGCCACTTTCTGTGTGTTCAATCACGGAGTTCATTATCCTGTGTTTGCTTGTCTGTTTACCATGCACTAAAACAAGCTACTGCTTTCTACACCTCTGTAGCCTAAACAACTGTTGCAATAGCACTTCATCAATAGATAGACGAATGAGGCAATCGGGTCTGTGACAAAGTGGGTTTGCTCACCCCTTGTCCCACACAGGTCATTATCTACAGTACACCTTTTAAAAGTGTTTATTTTTTGTAATTTACAATAGCTTGCTATCCCAGGTTGTTTGTTTGCATTTTGTTACAGTCTACAGCAAAGCATCTGATAAGTTAGAGTAAACACACAGTCATAAGTTAGTTTCAGTTCCATTTTATTAGGTTGCATGTTTAAACCTGGTTTAATTATTTTCCTGTGTTAATGCTTATAATTGTTTGGGGAGGGGCCAGCCTAAGCATTTCCTCTTTTATAGGAATAGGGGTCATGAATGACATCACCGGGCCAAACCAAGTAGAGGGTTTTCTTTCTTTATAGGAATGTTTCTTTTGGTTGTTTTTTGTTATTATAAATAAATGTGTAAATATCCCTGACCTGTTTTCTTGTCAGTGGGAGTGGAGTGAACTGGTAACAAAGTTCCAAATGTTAAGAGACGTCTAGATAGTAATGTTATGGAGTAGATCAACCTGCATCAGAATGGGATGAGCTGAAGCAGTTTGGGTGTGAATTGAACACCCTATATAAACGGTGGGATTTTTGTTCCCAAAGGAGGCAGAGGTGAGGCTGTGCTGCTGTGAATATGTGCCTTTTGGTAGCATTGCTGTAAGTTTAATGAGTTATTTTTCTTAAGTCCTTTTGTTTGTTGAGTTATCTGTGTACTGCAGACCACTGTAAATAAAACAATCCCCTCTGGGAACATACGATAGTGATGGGCAAAGCGAGGCTTTGTGAAACATTGAAACTTTTGAAGCAATTGTGCCAGAATTGTGTCGAGGCTTCGAAACACTTCGACACCTGTCTCCACGGTGACACCTACTGGTCACTTTTGATATTGACACATCTTGGTAGGGGTTTTCATTGAAACAATGACTGACCCGTGTTTACAATGCTAATCGTCTTATGAATACGTGACCAACAGGATTTTGGAGAAATCACCATACAACAAACGCTTTCAGATTGTCAGAGACAGCAGATGGGGATTGCAATAAAAGTGTGTTTAAATAAAACACATCTGTGTGTTGTTTCATAAGTAATCACTTAGTTAGCAGACGCATTTCTCAAAGGCGAATCACAATTGCTATGTCAGAGGGCGCACCTTGGGAGCAACTAGGGGTTAAGTGTCTTGCTCAGGGATACATGTATCACAGTGGGAATCAAACCCAGGTCTTTCACACCAAAGGCATTTGTCCTTACCACTACCCCAGAGAGACAACTTGTTAACGTTCAGAATCGGAATACTTTATTGATTTCAGACGGTGAAGTCTTTGTTGCAGATACTCTCAAGACATAAAAGGAATATAAATAATAGGTAGTTGAAGTTAGTGAGTGGAGAATATAATAAAGTATACAAATCTAAGAACATAGCCTAATAATAAATTAGAATAAATGTGGATATCTACAGTATTATACAGTAGCTTATTAACAAAGGTGTAATGATAATTATCAGGAAAGATATAGGCCCTAGTGTAATAATAATTAATAATAATGACAGTGATGGCAGTGATGAGGTGTAATGGATTAAAAATCTGTAACTGAGTAAAGTTTAAGTTGTTTCAAGAATGATAAATAAAAAGTGGAACAATGTCTCACATTTGTTATATGTCAAGAATTGTATTCAGAAATATTCTGCTGTTTTGGGGCCGAGTCAGGCTTTTTTTCATAATTGACATCCCCAGCCTTGGAAAAATTCGGTCACGTGGAACATAAGTATTTTTTTTGCCATCATAGGCCTACAGGTGTGGATATACTACAGCACGTTGCTCCAATAAATCAAATGATTGTGGGTCCTTGGAAAAAATCTGTCAACTGAGTTAGAGGCTGCGGTTGGTTCCAAACACTGTGAATCAAGCGTAGAAGCGGCAGGTGTGCCCACTGTTGAAACGCACCGAAGCCTGGCTTCACTATGGTCACTTGACACTGACGTTTTGAACCACGCTTTGAAGCAGTGTTTCGAAATGTCTGTGCTTCGGGATCTCGACACGTCAATATTAAGCGTCCCATCCCTAACATACGATGTTTGAGTCTGCCTACCTACCACCTCCCTAGCCACTCTGGTCAGGCTACACCACAGGGTCAATTTAATATTTGCATTGAAGATACATTCTCTTTATGTTGCTAACTCAGCTAGAATGGAAGAGCATAGCACCATTCTTGATCTACTCGCCTTCAGTATGACCTCCTTTTGGAAATGCAAGTAGATCTGGTGACCATTGTTGTGCACTGTGGCCTCACAGATAAGAGATTTGATTAGGTCAGGTATTCCAATGCCGCCGAGCAACTTTGAATGGCAGAACAAATGCGTATGGAGAACAGGTGGTAGAAATTATTCAAACTCCAAACTCCCTGAACAACTAACATCTTCTCCTAACCTCATCACTCCAATAGAACCAGTCTGACTTTGTTCTTCTGTTGGGTCAGACTTGAAACCTCTTAGCGCTTGCAAGGTTCAAAACAGTCAGGCAACCCATCCGATGATATTCTCAATACTAGGCAGGCTCCACCAGATGACAGACCATGGGGATATTGTGACGATGTGTCAGATCTGTGGGTAACAGGCCAAAACAGTGACAGAGGAAATTGTCACATCATGTCTGCAAGTTCACATCATGCATCAACTCTGTCTGCAGTCTTTTACCATGCTTCACCTTATGTGGAGATCAAGATGGAGGGGATGTGCCACTATGGGAAATTAACCTTACAAAGGCATTAGCTTGCATGGGAGCTACAAGGTGCTGCGCAGAGACAATAGTCACTGTTGCAAGAGTGTAAATCTGAGACAAGCCACAGTTTGTCTCTGTATATATTGATTGCTTTGATCCTTATCATATCACCATCAGCTGGAGAAGACAAAGTAGAGGTTGAAGATCAAAGGTGTAAATATATATAAAAGCACCTTTCTTGCAAAACCTTTAGACCTTTATGAGGCTAAACCTTCAGCTTCAACTTCAGATCTTATTGGTATCAAAGGAGACAGACAAGGGCCGAGGGACACTTTCAAGTCCCAGTGCTCAACTAGATTTGCTGCTTGGCTTGCGTTTGGTTACTATAGCAAATCTAGTTCACTTCCAATCCACGCACAGCCAACCATTTTGGCGCTTACTGGTAGAGATACATTTAGACTTTGAACCAAATTATCCAGTCAGTAACTGTGAAAGTGCTCTGTAATATTTTACACTAACTGGAGCTGGAGGAATACTCAATTCAAAATCCCTTTGCTACATTTCATCAGTCATGAAGGCCTATCACTTCCCTAAGTGATGTATCCAGGTTCCAAAAAGCTCAGTCGGTGCAGGTGGAGACACAGCTGACCACTACTGGAAACACTTTATCATGCGCTACACTTTTCTGGTGTAAAAACATGTATGTAATGTACTGCAGCAACAGCAGACATTCAAGTTAGAATCATACCTTAGATTGCACCCACAATGTGCAGTATGAGCTCCCCGCCCCTGAACAGACAAAAGCGATCTACTGGTTGTGTGATCTACCCAGGGGGCCAATTTAATCTACTGGTTTGTCTGCCTGCCTGCCTTCCCGGACAAAAGGCTGATGAAGCCTTTTTCTTGACTGAGCAGATATAGAGGCCGCTGTAAAAATTCTTACACCTGAACTCTTCCCCATACCCGTGTCTTTCTGTCATTATCCTCTCTTTGTTGCTCACTCAGTGTTTTTCCTATTCCATGAATTTAGGTAGGCCTATCTCTCCTCAGCATACTTGTGCATATGCCCTCATGCACCTGCTCCCAAATTACTTTTTGGAT